CGATACTTCTTTTCATGTCAGACTATAAACTCAAAGTTGAATGAGAAGACTGCATCTCTGCTTTAAAACTATGACTATATTCACAGGTTCCTTTTCTTTTTACAAATGTTGGCAAAAGAGAAGAATTTTGGTACTAGTACATAGGTAAGGAGAAAATCCTTGTGAGAAAAAGTTACTCCGAAATTCCCCAGGATAATGGAGAAATAAAACCACAAAGCACATAACACAAAGTTTTTGCTATGAGATAAAAACCCACTTTACATATGCACATTATAAGAAATACAGGTACTGCATTGACATAAAGGAGAATGACTCAATATTCCTACACAAATATTAACCATACACTGAGTTAAACGAGGTGCTCCAATTAAGAGAATTTTCATGGCTATTTAGAGAAACAAGGTTAAACTGAGCATGTAATTGGCTATTTTTCTTTATAAGCAGAGCACAATGTTAAAAGATACCTGTGAATGTCTTGCTGGCTGAGAATCCTACAATGAGAGATTCTAAATCTCATTCTCACATCATAGTGGGCTTACCTTGTGGCAAACAGGAACATCCTAGACAACAAGCCTCTGGCTAAATGAATGTTACACTCAGGAGTGAAGGAAAGAGCCATTTCACTGCCATGGTTCTTTCTGCTCCTCCAGGGCTGCAGAGCTTCCCAGCAGTCCCACCCACCTCAGCCTGACAACTTAAACCGCCCTGAACTCACCCGCTAAGCTTGATGCCTGGGGGAGGGATACTGGTTTCCAGTCATCTCCATAAATTGGCCAATTAAAACTCAATGCCTGTTCTATAAGAGAGAATTAGAGAAGGGTGACCTTAGTAGTTCTTCCTGAGAAGGACCTGCCTCTTGGACAATAGTGTGCAGCTTAGAAATGCCAGAACTCTGTTTTGTGGGCAAGAGGAGGAGGAGAACAAGGAAAACCGTCTGCTGATAAATGCATGCAACTGAATTCAGTTTCCTTAAATGATCTTTGCTAAACCTGGACCCTCCCACATTTGCAAAAATGCAATTGTCTGCAAAAGAGCATTAATGGGCCTCCCCGGTGGCGCAGCGGTTGAGCGCTGGGTTGCGAAGCTGCCCGCGACCTCTGCGGCGCCGGTTCGATCCCCGGCTGCTCCCCGGCCACCAGAGGAGGGTCCCACATGGCGTGCAGACCTCTCCTGCCGCCCGCTGCTCCCCTCAGCAGTGTACTTCGGTCCTTCTGCCTGCTCTGCTCCCCGCTCTGGCTCTGGTGAATTCTCTCACCCTCCCGCGCTTCTGACTGTACCCAGTGCATGTATAAACAAAACAAACAAACAAACCAGCAAACAAATAAATAAAGCATGCCTCTATAAAAAAAAAAAAAAAAAAAAAAGAGCATTAATGGCTTTAAGCATCCTACAGTTGGGGAGGTTACTGAAGTAGGGTTTATGTCAACATCCACTGTCCTGAGACACTAAGTCAGCAGAGGACAGAACTCATTGCCAAGGGAAGTTAAAGCGCCAGCTGAACCAACCTTGCTGTCCAATTGAGAACAAGTTAGAAGTCAATCCCTGAGCTTCTATTAGCCATTCCTCTTGATTTAGTTCACAGAGTATGTTATCACCACATATGGTAAGTGGTTAATAATCACATCAGATGGTTATTACAATAATGGCAGTGGAAGATGAGGAAGGGATAAGGAATTGCTAGAAAAAAGCACTGGCTTAAAAAGCTAGAACATTTTGCTATCTTTATGAACTCATTGAACTACCCTAGCCTGGGGCTTTAACAGATTTTAGGGAGACGTGTCAGCCAAGATAAATTAGATGATATGAATTCTGATTGACAAATTAGATACAAGAGAATTCAGGAAGCTGAACAAGAAAGGAAGGGCAGGGCATCCCTGGTGGCACAAGGTTAAGTCTCAGTACTATGAAGCCATCCACAGCCACTGAGGCATGAGTTTGATCCCTGGCCAGGGAGCTGCTTACATGGCACAGCAGACCTCTCCTGTCTCACCTGCTGTTCCCCTCAACAGTGTATTTCAGTAGATCCACCTATTCTGTTCCTCACTCTGTCTCTGGTGAATCCTCTCACCACTGTGCACCTCTGGCCTGTACCCCAGTTCTTGCATGCATAAATAAATAAATCTTTTTAAAAAAAGAAAGAAAGAAAGGGCAGAATTGGATCTGTAAGACTATTAGGTCCTGGGTCACTAGGAGTGTCTTTCTTTAACTTGGTTACTTGGTCCTTTTATACATCTGGGGGAGGAAGTTTTTTTTCCTTTTGCTGTTTCCTTTTTCTTATAAATAAGTGAAAAACACTTCCTGACTACTTTCTTCATGAAAAAGGATACACACACACACACACACACACACACACACACACGCACACAAACACACACACCCCCCTCTGTGACCCATTGGACTTGGAATTGGCTCATGAGGTGACCCGGCACCTTTTTATTTCCAAGATAGGTGTTGGTATACAGGCTTCTGGGACCTGTCACGAAATAGACTAGCACAACTTCCACTACTAAGAGGATGAGCACATTATAACTGCTCTCTCTAATGGAAGAATAAGATGGTGCCACTCCTTTTTCCCTATTTCAAGACAGGATTTAGACCCCAGCCAGCTTGAGAGAGCTCCCAGTAAGCAAAGCTAGAATAATTTAAGCAATAAAATCAGTAACAGTAGTGTTGAATTATAACCCACAGTTAGGTATTCTTACTGTTATAGTGAATGAATAGCAAAAAGAGACAACTTTTCCTTTCAGAAGAGTTCCAATTAACACATATAAAAGGAATGAAGGAAATAAGGTACCATCTTTAGAATATTACAGCAATAATTGACACAGGCAATATCTACCAGTAGACGCTAAAATCAGTGGGGGAAAGTTTGAGAAGAAACAGGATATTTGCATAGCCTCAAAGTTATCTCCCTGAAGGTATTTATTAATCATCAAGAGACAAACAGTAACTTCACAGTGGAGAAACCTAGTACACTTCACCTTAAATAAGTAATCTCAGTTAATATCAACACTAATAAAATACATCAATAAAATGTAATTTTGACGAGACACACTGTTTTTGTGGCTTCTTGCCAAAAAAAAAAAGTCTAACTTTATTTAATCTTGAGACAAACCTAAACAGAAGGCATTCCACAACATAACTGGCCCATATTCTTTAAATGTATCAAGGTCACAAAAGACAAGGAAAGACTGAGGATAGATCACCATTAAATGCGTCTAAGGAAACATGCTATTTGACAAAATGTAGGAGACTAGAGCAGAAAAAGGACCTAGGTAGGGGGAATTGGTGAAACGTCTATAAAGTCTTACAGTCTGTAGCTGGTAGCTTTATGCCAATACTAATCTCTTGGTTTTGATGTTTGTACTATGGTTACAAAGTTGTTAACATTAGGGAAAGTTGGATGGTGGGTGTATGATAAATCTCCAAAGTTTTTTGATGAATCTAAAATTATTTCAGAATGAAATGTAAAAAACAAATAGGCAGGATTTAGGATGGGAATGTATCAATCAGTAGTCTAATTCCCTAGATCCTTTCTTACGCACTATGTTATACTGACTTTCATGCTGGCACGCAGACTTGCCTGCTAAAGATGAAAATGGTGATGAGAATGATAACTGCCATTGTACTGCCTCCATTATGTTGCCACTACTAAAATTTGTTTCCCCTATTTCTCCTTCACTGTGACTGGACTCTGTGCTAAGTGCTTTGAATATTTTTAAAAAAAAAAAAAAACCACTTTTATTTTCTTACATCATCGTTCATTTTTGTACAGTATTTGATTTCTCCCCTCAGGTGTAGTCCCCACCACCACATCACCCATCAGCCATCACCACCAGTCCCTTGTGCTCTTACCTCCCCGAGTTTGACTTCCCATCCTCTCCCTCCCCTGCTGGATGTCGCAGATCTATGGTTTGCCTGCCAGTTTTGTCTTATCCCTGACCCTTTGTTTCCCTATTTTCCACCTGTAAGTGAAACCATCTGATATTTTTCTTTTTCCTTCTGCCTTATTTCACTTAGCATAGTCCCTTCCAGCTCTGTCCATATTGCTGCATATGGCATGAGTTTGTCTTATTTGATTACTGAGTAGTATTCCACTGTATATCTACAGCACATCTTCTTGATCCATTCATCTGTGTTTTTAGGTATTTCAGTAGTTTCCATATCTCAGCTGTTGTAAACAGTGCTGCAAAAAACACAGGAATGCAGGTTTCCCTTCAAATTAATGCTTTTGTATCCTTTAGGTAGATTCCAAGAAGAATCACTGGACCCTCCACACAGCTTTCCATAGTGGTTGGTACAGTTTGCATTCCCACGAGCAGTGTAAGAGGGTTATCTCATTGAATTCTACAGCTGTCTTAGGAAGTGGGTCCCATTAGCTGAATGTTATGGCAGTACCACGTACTGGCTATGAGCTCAAACTGCCTGAATTTCAATCAACGGTCTCCTAGTTGAATGCCCTCACAAGTGCAAAGCTACAGGGCCAGTATGAGAGTGTGATGAGATACACAGAGCCCAGCACATCACCTATCACACAGGAAGCACAGATACATAGCTGCACATTTTTATTAAGTTAACTTGGTAATCTCAGGACATTTTCCAATTAGCAACGACAAGAGAAATCTTAAATGAGTATCAGTTCAAAGATGACTTACTCTTGAACCATTTAACACATTTAGTCACGACCAAAACCAAAGATGTTTATATATCACTTTGAGCATTTTAAATTATAGTTTTAAAAACAGTTGTGAGTTTATGCTTAAAATATAGTGAGATCAAATGATTAAGGGACCCTCCGATTACCTTCAGGAACTTTCGTGCTCTTCAGAACCTACTTTGAAAGCTGCCATTAAGCTGATTATCCTTCTGAACTCAGAGCTTCCATCTGATCTATTGATACTTGTCAGAACCCCCTTAACTTTCCCAACTAGCCTATGCCTGGAACTACTTTGGCCCCAATTACCTCTTTCAGCAACTCAGTCCTTTTCTATGCCTCTTACCTGTACTTCAGCCGAAGCTTAACTCCTGGCCATGCTGCTTTCCTGTGCTGGGGGTCAGAGATGAGGGGCTCTGGGCTGGAATCAGAGGTGCCAGTATCTGCACACACATCTCTGGCAAAAACAGGAAAACAAGAAACTGACTGAGATGATCATGACAAATAAATCGACAAAGAAAAATATGTGAAAACTGATGCTCAGCTAGAGCAAAGCAGCACAGCTAATTATATAGCTAACCCAGGGCAGGCAGGTCTCTAAGCCTGCATCCCCCATCCATTGGTGAATCCACTACTGGTGAATCCTTTCCTATTTTTCTGTGAAGCAGTAAGTGTATTTCCCAATCTTATAAGATCAGATTTTCCAACTAGGGGAAAGAAAGATACATTAGGTATTAGGAAGGGGAACGCCCCCCAAATTCAGCATCTGCCAGTAAGTATGGGAAAAACTGGACTCATTGGAGCAAGCTGTCAGATGAGGTGGTTCCCTGAAAACAGTCTCTGCGGCCTTACTTCTCAGTTTCACTTAGAGAGCGCGACCTCCCGATGGAGCGGGCCTCTCTCTTCAGTGGGTGGCAGCTCAAAAGCACATGCCACCCCTGAGCCCGAGCTATTTCAGATTGTTTGGATTCCACTGCGCTGGAGGCAAGCCTTTTGTGTGTCCATTTAAATCCACCCTCCTACCCCCTAGTCCCCAGTGCCATTCCCATAGTGCTTTTCTTCCATACTCCCAGGGAGTCAGAGAAAAATTTTAAGCCCTGCATGACCAATGTGTTCCGCCATGGGAAAAGGCAGTTCTTCTCCTTAGGCGAGTCCTGGCTCCCAAACTTCCAAATGCCCCAGTCACACCCTGCTGGAGTCCTCTTGACCAGACCTCAAGACCTTGCATCAGGTTTTGAAGTGGGTTTGTACCATTCTGCTCTAGTGGTGTTTTCAGTGTGTCTTCAAGAACTTTCTTAGCCTCTGAAACCCAAATGAAACCCTATTAGCTGGAATTTGGAGACATGTAAACTGCAGTTACTGCTCTGCATCAGCCTTGGTGGAGAGGGGGAGGCATTACAAATAGTTGATTTCTTTTTATTACAAGACATGCTAGAGAGATGCACAGGGAGTCAACAGGGAGCTTCTAGTTCCCAACTACCATTTTCATCTTTACCTTAGTAATTATCTAAGCACCATCTCTTCCTTCTGTGACCACTTTTTTCACTAGATTTAGGTTTCCTTGCTTTGAATACACTTAGTATAACCCTAGACTTGATGTCTGAAGATCTGGTTGAGGTTGCCATTTATGAACTGAGTGACACCAAGCAAGTAAGCTCAGAGTCTCAGGAACCTCATCTGTAAAGTGGAAATACGGGGCAGAGTGCTCAAGGGCTCTGGGGTTACCCTCTCCTGAGCTAGAAACCTGGCTCTACCCACCCACCAGCTCTGTGCCTCTGTCCTTTTTGTGCCTCAGCTCTCATTTCTGAAATGGGTGCAAAAGAACAACCACTTTCATAAGGTTGTTGAGCAACTTACAGTGATTCAGGTCAAGCATTTAAAATAGAGTCTGGTATATATTCAAATAGCAGAGGGGAAATTAGCCATTATATTTGCAGAGTTGCAATGAAGTACCTAGATGCCTATTTATAGTCCAGTAGACTACATATATTTGGCATGTGCTTAAAAAAACTGCTTTCATTGTTGTTTTACCATAACATCTTTGTTTATTTTATTTTAAACAAAACACCCATCCATTAGATGCCCTGTATCCTTGCTCCCACTCCAGATCCATTTCCCCTCTGATAGTTTCAGTTCTGCTGACAGTGTCCACTAGTTTATTTTATTTGTCTGTTCACCTGCTTTGTTTCTTTATGTTACACATACAGGTGAATTAATCTAGTATGTGTCTTTCTCCTTCTAATTTTGCTCTGCATAGTCCCCCTGAATCCCCTTCCATTTTGCTGCAAATGGCAATTTTTCATTGATTTATACCCAAATGGTATTCCATTGTGTATATATCACATCTCCTTTGCCCAGTCTATCAATGGACACTTAGGAGGCTACTAGAGCCTAGCTATTATAAAGAGCACTGCAATAAAAAGTGTAGTGTAGTGCACATAACTTTGTAAGTTAATGGTCTTCGACTGTTTGGATAGATATCCAGAAGTGGGATTGCTGGAACATATGGTGGCTCTCTCCTTCTTTGAGGAAAGTTCTTGCTATAACACCTTTCTTTTATTCAATTTTACTTTTTTATTGAGGCAACATTGCATTACATTATATAAGCTTCAGGTGTACATCATTGAAAACCAACACATGGCTTCACATTAAGTTCACCACGTAGGGGCCTCCCTGGTGGCACAAGGTGTTAAGACACAGCACTATGAAGCTATCCGCAGCCACTGCAGCACAAGTTCAATCCCCGGCCAGGGAGCTACCCACGTGGTGCAGCAGACCTCTCCCGTTTCGCCCACTGCTCACCTCAGCAGTGTATTTCTGTCAGTCGGCCTGTTCTGTTCCCCACTCTGTCTCTGGTGAATCCTCCCACCACTGCAACTAGGCCAGTACCCCAGCTCTTGTATGCATAAATAAATCTTTAAAAAAAAGCTCACCACGTAAAGTGCAATTCTACCCTTCTCCATATAATTGTCCCCTTTGTCCCATTTTACCCATCCCTATTCTCCCTTTTTTTTCTGGTAACCACTAATTCATTTTATAGCCTAAAAGTTTATTTTTGTTTCATTTAGTTCATGTTTGTTTTCTCTGTATACCACATATCATACCTTCATTTCAGAGCTCCTTTCAGCTAAGATGTTATGCAAACTAGACACAGCTAAAAAGACCTAATTTATGCTGGAAATAGTAGCAAGAAGAGCCCTGGCCAGGAAATTAACATGTCAAAGCCTTTTGCAGAATTCATCATGTGGTCCTCAGTTTCTCACACAGCCTCCAAAGCACCAAGCGCACCGGCCATCCGACTTACACAGAGGGGGCAAGTCAATTCAAACGCATCTCACTATGGAATATATGGATGTAAGGAGCACCCCAAGACCACTCACTGGCATAACCCATCTGACAGCAAGCTTTCCTTTCCAAGTCTCCTCCAGACCCAACTGTGAAAGACCCCTTCTGGAATGGTCCCTTAGCCCTTCTCTCCTGGTTGGTCGGTTGTCTTTATCCACACATTGAAAGCAGCCGTCTCGAGAATGCACACTTCCACCCACCTGAGGTTACTACGCTGCCCGCCATCCACAAATCCTTTGTGGTATTTAATAACTCCCCAGGTTTTGCCTAAACCACACTGTGGGCTCTGCCTGTTTTGCACGATGGCTGAGCCCTTTCCTCATTCCTTTCCTTCTCCTACTTCCTCAGAGCTCCGAGGGATGCAGATTCAGGGGTGCACTGTTCTGTTTTGTTTTTTTAACCACATTATAAATCAGTTTTTGTTTTTTTTTAAGATTTATTTATTTGTTTACACAAGCACTGGGTATAGTCAGAAGCGTGGGAGGGTGAGAGGATTCACCAGAGCCAGAGTGGGGAACAGAACAGGCAGACTGACGAAATACACTGCTGAGGGGAGCAGTGGGCGCGGCAGGAGAGGTCTGAGGGACCCTTGCCGGTGGCTGGGGATCGGACCAGCGCTGCAGAGGCTGCGTGCAGCTTTGCTGCCCAGCGCTCAACCGCTGCACCACCAGGGGAGGCCCTAAATCATTCAGTTTTATTAAAATATTAAGTTCACACGATACCTTATAAAGCATGAAAATACTACTGTATGAAACTGGTGAAAACACAGATCACAGGCATTCAAGAAGCATTCCCGATCACATGATATCATGATCTGACAACTGTGGTTTCCATGGTTTTCAACACAGACACTGAGTATTTAGTAAACATGGAAGTACAATAATTGTATGCCCTTTGAAGAGTTAGCTATAGTTTTCTTGCATTTCTGTGAAGATTTCTTTATTTCAACCACAACAAATAACAGCTATGATGTCTGCCTATCACCACTATGAAGATATATCACCATGTTAATGACCAACTGTACTATTTCTCTAGAGAACAATTGGTAAAGCTATTCAAAACTCAGAATTTCCACAATGAAGGGCTGGAGAACAAGCAAATGGGAAAGAGATGGACTCATGAACACAGGAGACTGTCATCTTTTTAAAGATTTTCAAAGCAAGGTTCATTTCAGTTGCAGGAAGAGACCAATAGTCGGCACTGCCCCCCATGGCCACACGCTGTCCTTTCACCAGCCAAGGGACCAGCTGTCCAGGGGACCAGCTAATGAGGAACTGGGTGTGAGGATTCTGAAACCCAAGTTGCTGACTGTGTCCCCAAGTCTGAGTCACACCCAGCCTTCCTGCTCATCTTTACCAGCTCCCACCTTGCTGGGGCCCCCTCCTGTGCCCAGACATTGGGCTGGCCCTGAGTAGGCTGCCTGGAAACAGACTAGAGAAAATACATTAGACTCACCAGCATCCAGATCACTTTTTTTTTTTTTTTTTTTTTTTTTTGCCTTACACTCTTTTTGTAATAATCTGGAACACAAACATTTTCAAATTCCTATGTTCTAAAGAAAAGAAGTTCCATAGTGAGTGTAGGCAGAAAACAGTCCTGAATGAGTGTTGGGAAGCATTATCATCCCAAGACCCCCCTCCTGGAATGGTGTCTTTGCCCTTCTCTCCCGGTCAGTTGTCTTATCTACACAATGAAAGCAGCTGCCTGCAGAATGCACACTTCCACCCACCCGAGGGGACAATGCTGGCCGCCTCACTCTAGACCGCAAGCCCCCGCGTCTGCCCTGCACTTCGATCTCACTGGGGCACAGCCAGTGATGCCACATGACCATGCAGGTCATTCCCGGTCTTTCCAATAGGACACATGTGCTTTTCCTTATGTCAGGAGTTATTCTCATAGCTTCTTTAGGAAGGCGAGAACCGGTATTTTTAAAGTCTATTTTTCAGACGAACCAGCTGAGACACAAAGAGGCTGCGTATCTTAGTTAAAACCACACATGGAATCAGGCTCACTTGGAACTAAAATCACTGACAGCTACTCACTCTTCCTTCTTTCAGGTTAGCAGTTTCAAATTTTTTCAGTCTTAAATTCTGTAGTCCTAGAATAACCCAG